GTACCACACCGTGTCTCCTGTACCACACCGTGTCTCCTGTACCGTGTCTCCCGTACCACACCGTGTCTCCTGTACCACACCGTGTCTCCTGTACCACACCGTGTCTCCTGTACCGTGTCTCCTGTACCACACCGTGTCTCCTGTACCGTGTCTCCTGTACCACACCGTGTCTCCTGTACCACACCGTGTCTCCCGTACCACACCGTGTCTCCTGTACCACACCGTGTCTCCTGTACCGTGTCTCCTGTACCACACCGTGTCTCCTGTACCACACCGTGTCTCCTGTACCGTGTCTCCTGTACCACACCGTGTCTCTTGTACCATGTCTCCTGTACCACACCGTGTCTCCTACACCGTGTCTCCTGTACCACACCGTGTCTCCTGTACCACACCGTGTCTCCTGTACCACACCGTGTCTCCTACACCGTGTCTCCTGTACCACACCGTGTCTCCCGTACCACGCCGTGTCTCCTGTACCACACCGTGTCTCCTGTACCACACCGTGTCTCCTGTACCACGCCGTGTCTCCTACACCGTGTCTCCTGTACCACACCGTGTCTCCTGTACCACACCGTGTCTCCTACACCGTGTCTCCTGTACCACACCGTGTCTCCCGTACCACACCGTGTCTCCTGTACCACACCGTGTCTCCTACACCGTGTCTCCTGTACCACACCGTGTCTCCTGTACCACACCGTGTCTCCTACACCGTGTCTCCTGTACCACGCCGTGTCTCCTGTACCACGCCGTGTCTCCTGTACCACGCCGTGTCTCCTGTACCACGCCGTGTCTCCTGTACCACACCGTGTCTCCTGTACCACACCGTGTCTCCTGTACCACACCGTGTCTCCTGTACCACACCGTGTCTCCTACACCGTGTCTCCTGTACCACACCGTGTCTCCTGTACCACACCGTGTCTCCTACACCGTGTCTCCTGTACCACACCGTGTCTCCTACACCGTGTCTCCTGTACCACACCGTGTCTCCTGTACCACAAGGTGTCTCCTGTACTACGCCGTGTCTCCCGTACCACGCCGTGTCTCCTGTACCATGTCTCCTACACCGTGTCTCCTGTACCACACCGTGTCTCCTACACCGTGTCTCCTGTACCACACCGTGTCTCCTGTACCACGCCGTGTCTCCTGTACCACGCCGTGTCTCCTGTACCATGTCTCCTACACCGTGTCTCCTGTACCACACCGTGTCTCCCGTACCACGCCGTGTCTCCTGTACCACACCGTGTCTCCTGTACCACACCGTGTCTCCTACACCGTGTCTCCTGTACCACGCCGTGTCTCCTGTACCATGTCTCCTACACCGTGTCTCCTGTACCACGCCGTGTCTCCCGTACCACGCCGTGTCTCCCGTACCACACCGTGTCTCCCGTACCACACCGTGTCTCCTGTACCACGCCGTGTCTCCTGTACCACACCGTGTCTCCTACACCGTGTCTCCTGTACCACACCGTGTCTCCTGTACCACACCGTGTCTCCTACACCGTGTCTCCTGTACCACACCGTGTCTCCTACACCGTGTCTCCTGTACCACACCGTGTCTCCCGTACCACACCGTGTCTCCTGTACCACGCCGTGTCTCCTGTACCACACCGTGTCTCCTACACCGTGTCTCCTGTACCACACCGTGTCTCCTGTACCACACCGTGTCTCCTACACCGTGTCTCCTGTACCACACCGTGTCTCCTACACCGTGTCTCCTGTACCACACCGTGTCTCCTGTACCACACCGTGTCTCCTGTACCACACCGTGTCTCCTACACCGTGTCTCCTGTACCACACCGTGTCTCCCGTACCACGCCGTGTCTCCTGTACCACACCGTGTCTCCTGTACCACACCGTGTCTCCTGTACCACACCGTGTCTCCTACACCGTGTCTCCTGTACCACACCGTGTCTCCTGTACCACACCGTGTCTCCTGTACCACACCGTGTCTCCTACACCGTGTCTCCTGTACCACACCGTGTCTCCTGTACCACACCGTGTCTCCTGTACCACACCGTGTCTCCTGTACCACACCGTGTCTCCTACACCGTGTCTCCTGTACCACACCGTGTCTCCTGTACCACACCGTGTCTCCTACACCGTGTCTCCTGTACCACACCGTGTCTCCCGTACCACGCCGTGTCTCCTGTACCACGCCGTGTCTCCTGTACCACCCCTTGTCTCCTACACCGTGTCTCCTGTACTACACCGTGTCTCCTACACCGTGTCTCCCGTACCACGCCATGTCTCCCGTACCACGCCGTGTCTCCTGTACCACGCCATGTCTCCCGTACCACACCGTGTCTCCCGTACCACGCCGTGTCTCCTGTACCACACTGTGTCTCCTGTACCACACCGTGTCTCCTGTACCACACCGTGTCTCCCGTACCACGCCGTGTCTCCTGTACCACACCGTGTCTCCTGTACCACACCGTGTCTCCTGTACCACACCGTGTCTCCCGTACCACGCCGTGTCTCCTGTACCACACCGTGTCTCCTGTACCACACCGTGTCTCCTACACCGTGTCTCCTGTACCACACCGTGTCTCCTGTACCACACCGTGTCTCCTACACCGTGTCTCCTGTACCACACCGTGTCTCCTACACCGTGTCTCCTGTACCACACCGTGTCTCCTGTACCACACCGTGTCTCCCGTACCACACCGTGTCTCACTGTACCACACCGTGTCTCCTACACCGTATCTCCTGTACCACACCGTGTCTCCTGTACCACACCGTGTCTCCTGTACCACACCGTGTCTCCTGTACCACGCCGTGTCTCCTACACCATGTCTCCTACACGTGTCTCCTGTACCACGCCGTGTCTCCTGTACCACACCGTGTCTCCTACACCATGTCTCCTACACGTGTCTCCTGTACCACGCCGTGTCTCCTGTACCACACCGTGTCTCCTGTACCCCACCGTGTCTCCCGTACCACACCGTGTCTCCTGTACCACACCGTGTCTCCTGTACCACACCGTGTCTCCTGTACCACACCGTGTCTCCTGTACCCACACCGTGTCTCCTACACCGTGTCTCCTGTACCACACCGTGTCTCCTGTACCACACCGTGTCTCCTGTACCACGCCGTGTCTCCTGTACCACGCCGTGTCTCCTACACCGTGTCTCCTGTACCACACCGTGTCTCCTGTACCACGCCGTGTCTCCTGTACCACGCCGTGTCTCCTACACCGTGTCTCCCGTACCACGCCGTGTCTCCTGTACCACACCGTGTCTCCTACACCGTGTCTCCTGTACCACGCCGTGTCTCCTGTACCACACCGTGTCTCCCGTACCACACCGTGTCTCCTGTACCACGCCGTGTCTCCTGTACCACACCGGGTCTCCTACACCGTGTCTCCTGTACCACACCGTGTCTCCTGTACCACGCCGTGTCTCCCTTACCACGCCGTGTCTCCTGTACCACACCGTGTCTCCTGTACCACACCGTGTCTCCTGTACCACACCGTGTCTCCTGTACCACACCGTGTCTCCTACACCGTGTCTCCTGTACCACACCGTGTCTCCTGTACCACACCGTGTCTCCTGTACCACGCCGTGTCTCCTGTACCACGCCGTGTCTCCTACACCGTGTCTCCTGTACCACACCGTGTCTCCTGTACCACGCCGTGTCTCCTGTACCACGCCGTGTCTCCTACACCGTGTCTCCCGTACCACGCCGTGTCTCCTGTACCACACCGTGTCTCCTACACCGTGTCTCCTGTACCACGCCGTGTCTCCTGTACCACACCGTGTCTCCCGTACCACACCGTGTCTCCTGTACCACGCCGTGTCTCCTGTACCACACCGTGTCTCCTACACCGTGTCTCCTGTACCACACCGTGTCTCCTGTACCACGCCGTGTCTCCCTTACCACGCCGTGTCTCCTGTACCACACGGTATCTCCTGTACCACACCGTGTCTCCTGTACCACACCGTGTCTCCTACACCGTGTCTCCTGTACCACACCGTGTCTCCTGTACCACACCGTGTCTCCTACACCGTGTCTCCTGTACCACACCGTGTCTCCTGTACCACACCGTGTCTCCTGTACCACACCGTGTCTCCTGTACCACACCGTGTCTCCCGTACCACACCGTGTCTCCTGTACCACACCGTGTCTCCTACACCGTGTCTCCTGTACCACACCGTGTCTCCTGTACCACACCGTGTCTCCTACACCGTGTCTCCTGTACCACACCGTGTCTCCTACACCATGTCTCCTACACGTGTCTCCTGTACCACGCCGTGTCTCCTGTACCACGCCGTGTCTCCTGTACCACGCCGTGTCTCCTGTACCACGCCGTGTCTCCTCTACCACGCCGTGTCTCCTGTACCACGCCGTGTCTCCTGTACCACGCCGTGTCTCCTGTACCACACCGTGTCTCCTGTACCACACCGTGTCTCCTACACCGTGTCTCCTGTACCACGCCGTGTCTCCTGTACCGTGTCTCCTGTACCAACACCGTGTCTCCTACACCATGTCTCCTACACCGGTCTCCTGTACCACGACCGTGTCTCCTACACCGTGTCTCCTGTACCACGCCGTGTCTCCTGTACCACGCCGTGTCTCCTACACCGTGTCTCCTGTACCACGCCGTGTCTCCTACACCGTGTCTCCTGTACCACACCGTGTCTCCTGTACCACACCGTGTCTCCTACACCGTGTCTGCTGTACCGTGTCTCCTACACTGTGTCTCCTGTACCACACCGTGTCTCCTACACCGTGTCTCCTGTACCACACCGTGTCTCCTACACCGTGTCTCCTGTACCGTGTCTCCTACACCGTGTCTCCTGTACCACACCGTGTCTCCTATACCGTGTCTCCTACACCGTGTCTCCCGTACCACACCGTGTCTCCCGTACCACGCCGTGTCTCCTGTACCACGCCGTGTCTCCTACACCGTGTCTCCTACACCGTGTCTCCTACACCGTGTCTCCTGTACCACGCCGTGCCGCCTGTAGGCTGACAGCGAGGCTGTGTGCGGGTGCGTGCAGGCTGGCTGTACGACGCCACGCACAGCTACAGCTACCCCTTCTACGTGTGCGGCCTCCTCTACATGGTCGGCACGGCGCTGCTTCTCACGAGGCCCTGCCTGGAGGCCCCGCCGGGCGCCGCAGGGGAGCTGCCGGATCACCGCCGCCGTCACCGCCACCGTGGCGGTGGTGGCGGTGGCGGTGGTGGCGGTGGCGGTGGTGATGGTGGCGGTGGTGGTGATCGCCAGCGACGGGATGCACGCTCATCACGGCGCCCGTCCGTGGCCGTGTGAAGGTCGGATTAGGGGTGTAGGGTTACTGGTAGTGGCTAGTGAAGGAGTTGGTTAGTGGCTAGTGAAGGAGTTGGTTAGTGGCTAGTGAAGGAGTTGGTTAGTGGCTAGTGAAGGAGTTGGTTAGTGGCTAGTGAAGGAGTTGAAGGAGTTGGTTAGTGGCTAGTGAAGAAGTTGATAGTGGCTAGTGAAGGAGTTGGTTAGTGGCTAGTGAAGGAGTTGATAGTGGCTAGTGAAGGAGTTGGTTAGTGGCTAGTGAAGGAGTTGATAGTGGTAGTGAAGGAGTTGGTTAGTGGCTAGTGAAGAAGTTGGTTAGTGGCTATGAAGGAGTTGGTTAGTGGCTAGTGAAGGAGTTGAAGGAGTTGGTTAGTGGCTAGTGAAGAAGTTGATAGTGGCTAGTGAAGGAGTTGGTTAGTGGCTAGTGAAGGAGTTGGTTAGTGGCTAGTGAAGGAGGTGGTTAGTGGCTAGTGAAGAAGTTAGTTAGTGGCTAGTGAAGAAGTTGATAGTGGCTAGTGAAGGAGTTGATAGTGGCTAGTGAAGGATTTGGTTAGTGGCTAGTGAAGAAGTTGGTTAGTGGCTAGTGGAAGGAGTTGGTTAGTGGCTAGTGAAGGTTTTTGGTTAGTGGCCTAGTGAAGAAGTTGGTTAGTGGCTAGTGAAGGAGTTGATAGTGGCTAGTGAAGGAGTTGGTTAGTGGCTAGTGAAGGAGTGGGTTAGTGGCTAGTGAAGGAGTTGATAGTGGCTAGTGAAGGAGTTTGATGGTGGCTAGGGAAGGAGTTGAAGGAGTTGGTTAGTGGCTAGTGAAGGAGTTGATAGTGGCTAGTGAAGGAGTTGGTTAGTGGCTAGGTGAAGGAGTTTGGTTAGTGGCTAGTGAAGGAGTTGGTTAGTGGCTAGTGAAGGAGTTGGTTAGTGGCTAGTGAAGGAGTTGGTTAGTGGCTAGTGAAGGAGTTGATAGTGGCTAGTGAAGGAGTTGATAGTGGCTAGTGAAGGAGTTGGTTAGTGGCTAGTGAAGGAGTTGGTTAGTGGGCTAGTGAAGGAGTTGATAGTGGCTAGTGAAGGAATTGGTTAGTGGCCTAGTGAAGAAGTTGGTTAGTGGCTAGTGAAGGAGTTGATAGTGGCTAGTGAAGGAGTTGGTTAGTGGCTAGTGAAGGAGTTGGTTAGTGGCTAGTGAAGGAGTTGGTTAGCGGCTAGTGAAGGAGTTGATAGTGGCTAGGGAAGGAGTTGAAAGAGTTGGTTAGTGGCTAGTGAAGGAGTGATAGTGGCTAGTGAAGGAGTTGGTTAGTGGCTAGTGAAGGAGTTGGTTAGTGGCTAGTGAAGGAGTTGGTTAGTGGCTAGTGAAGGAGTTGGTTAGTGGCTAGTGAAGGAGTTGGTTAGTGGCTAGTGAAGGAGTTGAAGGAGTTTGGTTAGTGGCTAGTGAAGAAGTTGATAGTGGCTAGTGAAGGAGTTGGTTAGTGGCTAGTGAAGGAGTTGATAGTGGCTAGTGAAGGAGTTGGTTAGTGGCTAGTGAAGGAGTTGATAGTGGCTAGTGAAGGAGTTGGTTAGTGGCTAGTGAAGAAGTTGGTTAGTGGCTAGTGAAGGAGTTGGTTAGTGGCTAGTGAAGGAGTTGAAGGAGTTGGTTAGTGGCTAGTGAAGAAGTTGATAGTGGCTAGTGAAGGAGTTGGTTAGTGGCTAGTGAAGGAGTTGGTTAGTGGCTAGTGAAGGAGGTGGTTAGTGGCTAGTGAAGAAGTTAGTTAGTGGCTAGTGAAGAAGTTGATAGTGGCTAGTGAAGGAGTTGATAGTGGCTAGTGAAGGATTTGGTTAGTGGCTAGTGAAGAAGTTGGTTAGTGGCTAGTGAAGGAGTTGGTTAGTGGCTAGTGAAGGTTTTGGTTAGTGGCTAGTGAAGAAGTTGGTTAGTGGCTAGTGAAGGAGTTGATAGTGGCTAGTGAAGGAGTTGGTTAGTGGCTAGTGAAGGAGTTGGTTAGTGGCTAGTGAAGGAGTTGATAGTGGCTAGTGAAGGAGTTGATGGTGGCTAGGGAAGGAGTTGAAGGAGTTGGTTAGTGGCTAGTGAAGGAGTTGATAGTGGCTAGTGAAGGAGTTGGTTAGTGGCTAGTGAAGGAGTTGGTTAGTGGCTAGTGAAGGAGTTGGTTAGTGGCTAGTGAAGGAGTTGGTTAGTGGCTAGTGAAGGAGTTGGTTAGTGGCTAGTGAAGGAGTTGATAGTGGCTAGTGAAGGAGTTGATAGTGGCTAGTGAAGGAGTTGGTTAGTGGCTAGTGAAGGAGTTGGTTAGTGGCTAGTGAAGGAGTTGATAGTGGCTAGTGAAGGAATTGGTTAGTGGCTAGTGAAGAAGTTGGTTAGTGGCTAGTGAAGGAGTTGATAGTGGCTAGTGAAGGAGTTGGTTAGTGGCTAGTGAAGGAGTTGGTTAGTGGCTAGTGAAGGAGTTGGTTAGCGGCTAGTGAAGGAGTTGATAGTGGCTAGGGAAGGAGTTGAAAGAGTTGGTTAGTGGCTAGTGAAGGAGTTGATAGTGGCTAGTGAAGGAGTTGGTTAGTGGCTAGTGAAGGAGTTGGTTAGTGGCTAGTGAAGGAGTTGGTTAGTGGCTAGTGAAGGAGTTGGTTAGTGGCTAGTGAAGGAGTTGGTTAGTGGCTAGTGAAGGAGTTGAAGGAGTTGGTTAGTGGCTAGTGAAGAAGTTGATAGTGGCTAGTGAAGGAGTTGGTTAGTGGCTAGTGAAGGAGTTGATAGTGGCTAGTGAAGGAGTTGGTTAGTGGCTAGTGAAGGAGTTGATAGTGGCTAGTGAAGGAGTTGGTTAGTGGCTAGTGAAGAAGTTGGTTAGTGGCTAGTGAAGGAGTTGGTTAGTGGCTAGTGAAGGAGTTGAAGGAGTTGGTTAGTGGCTAGTGAAGAAGTTGATAGTGGCTAGTGAAGGAGTTGGTTAGTGGCTAGTGAAGGAGTTGGTTAGTGGCTAGTGAAGGAGGTGGTTAGTGGCTAGTGAAGAAGTTAGTTAGTGGCTAGTGAAGAAGTTGATAGTGGCTAGTGAAGGAGTTGATAGTGGCTAGTGAAGGATTTGGTTAGTGGCTAGTGAAGAAGTTGGTTAGTGGCTAGTGAAGGAGTTGGTTAGTGGCTAGTGAAGGTTTTGGTTAGTGGCTAGTGAAGAAGTTGGTTAGTGGCTAGTGAAGGAGTTGATAGTGGCTAGTGAAGGAGTTGGTTAGTGGCTAGTGAAGGAGTTGGTTAGTGGCTAGTGAAGGAGTTGATAGTGGCTAGTGAAGGAGTTGATGGTGGCTAGGGAAGGAGTTGAAGGAGTTGGTTAGTGGCTAGTGAAGGAGTTGATAGTGGCTAGTGAAGGAGTTGGTTAGTGGCTAGTGAAGGAGTTGGTTAGTGGCTAGTGAAGGAGTTGGTTAGTGGCTAGTGAAGGAGTTGGTTAGTGGCTAGTGAAGGAGTTGGTTAGTGGCTAGTGAAGGAGTTGATAGTGGCTAGTGAAGGAGTTGATAGTGGCTAGTGAAGGAGTTGGTTAGTGGCTAGTGAAGGAGTTGGTTAGTGGCTAGTGAAGGAGTTGATAGTGGCTAGTGAAGGAATTGGTTAGTGGCTAGTGAAGAAGTTGGTTAGTGGCTAGTGAAGGAGTTGATAGTGGCTAGTGAAGGAGTTGGTTAGTGGCTAGTGAAGGAGTTGGTTAGTGGCTAGTGAAGGAGTTGGTTAGCGGCTAGTGAAGGAGTTGATAGTGGCTAGGGAAGGAGTTGAAAGAGTTGGTTAGTGGCTAGTGAAGGAGTTGATAGTGGCTAGTGAAGGAGTTGGTTAGTGGCTAGTGAAGGAGTTGTTAGTGGCTAGGAAGGAGTTGGTTAGTGGCTAGTGAAGGAGTTGGTAGGGGCTAGTGAAGGAGTTGGTTAGTGGCTAGTGAAGGAGTGGTTAGTGGCTAGTGAAGGAGTTGGTTAGTGGCTAGTGAAGGAGTTGATTTAGTGGCTAGTGAAGGAGTTGATAGTGGCTAGTGAAGGAGTTGGTTAGTGGCTAGGGAAAGGAGTTGGTTAGTGGCTAGTGAAGGAGTTGTAGTGGCTAGTTGAAGGAGTTGGTTAGTGGCTAGTGAAGGAGTTGGTTAGTGGCTAGTGAAGGAGTTGGTAGTGGCTAATGAAGGAGTTGGTTAGTGGCTAGTGAAGGAGTTGATAGTGGCTAGTGAAGAAGTTGATAGTGGCTAGTGAAGGAGTTGGTTAGTGGCTAGTGAAGGAGTTGGTTAGTGGCTAGTGAAGGAGTTGGTTAGTGGCTAGTGAAGAAGTTGGTTAGTGGCTAGTGAAGGAGTTCGTTAGTGGCTAGTGAAGGAGTTGATAGTGGCTAGTGAAGAAGTTGGTTAGTGGCTAGTGAAGGAGTTGGTTAGTGACTAGTGAAGGAGTTGGTTAGTGGCTAGTGAAGGAGTTGGTTAGTGCTAGTGAAGGAGTTGGTTAGTGGCTAGTGAAGGAGTTGGTTAGTGGCTAGTGAAGGAGGTGGTTAGTGGCTAGTGAAGAAGTTGGTTAGTGGCTAGTGAAGAAGTTGATAGTGGCTAGTGAAGGAGTTGATAGTGGCTAGTGAAGGATTTGGTTAGTGGCTAGTGAAGAAGTTGGTTAGTGGCTAGTGAAGGAGTTGGTTAGTGGCTAGTGAAGGATTTGGTTAGTGGCTAGTGAAGAAGTTGGTTAGTGGCTAGTGAAGGAGTTGATAGTGGCTAGTGAAGGAGTTGGTTAGTGGCTAGTGAAGGAGTTGGTTAGTGGCTAGTGAAGGAGTTGATAGTGGCTAGTGAAGGAGTTGATAGTGGCTAGGGAAGGAGTTGGTTAGTGGCTAGTGAAGGAGTTGATAGTGGCTAGTGAAGGAGTTGGTTAGTGGCTAGTGAAGGAGTTGGTTAGTGGCTAGTGAAGGAGTTGGTTAGTGGCTAGTGAAGGAGTTGGTTAGTGGCTAGTGAAGGAGTTGGTTAGTGGCTAGTGAAGGAGTTGATAGTGGCTAGTGAAGGAGTTGATAGTGGCTAGTGAAGGAGTTGGTTAGTGGCTAGTGAAGGAGTTGGTTAGTGGCTAGTGAACGAGTGGATAGTGGCTAGTGAAGGAATTGGTTAGTGGCTAGTGAAGAAGTTGGTTAGTGGCTAGTGAAGGAGTTGATAGTGGCTAGTGAAGGAGTTGGTTAGTGGCTAGTGAAGGAGTTGGTTAGTGGCTAGTGAAGGAGTTGGTTAGCGGCTAG